CATCTCAGGAGGGATTTTGTCCCACTCCACTTTGCAGATCTTCTCCAAGTCATTAAGGTTTCGAGGCTGACATTTGGCAACTCGAACCTTCAGCTCCCTCCACAGATTTTCTATGGGATTAAGGTCTGGAGACTGGCTAGGCCACTCCAGGACCTTAATGTGCTTCTTCTTGAGCCACTCCTTTGTTGCCTTGGCCATGTGTTTTGGGTCATTGTCATGCTGGAATACCCATCCACTACCCATTTTCAATGCCCTGGCTGAGGGAAGGAGATTCTCACCCAAGATTTGACGGTACATGGCCCGTCCATCGTCCCTTTGATGCATTGAAGGTGTCCTGTCCCCTTAGCAGAAAAACACCCCCAAAGCATAATGTTTCCACCTCCATGTTTGACGGTGGGGATGGTGTTCTTGGGGTCATAGGCAGCATTCCTCCTCCTCCAAACACGGCGAGTTTAGTTGATGCCAAAGAGCTCGATTTTGGTCTCATCTGACCACAACACTTTCACCCAGTTCTCCTCTGAATCATTCAGATGTTCATTGGCAAACTTCAGACGGGCCTGTATATGTGCTTTCTTGAGCAGGGGGACCTTGCGGGCGCTGCAGGATTTCAGTCCTTCACGGCGTAGTGTGTTACCAATTGTTTTCTTGGTGACTATGGTCCAAGCTGCCTTGAGATCATTGACAAGATCCTCCCGTGTAGTTCTGGGCTGTTTCCTCACCGTTCTCATGATCATTGCAACTCCACGAGGTGAGATCTTGCATGGAGCCCCAGGCCAAGGGAGATTGACAGTTATTTTGTGTTTCTTCCATTTGCGAATAATCGCACCAACTGTTGTCACCTTCTCACCATGCTGCTTGGCGATGGTCTTGTAGCCCATTCCAGCCTTGTGTAGGTCTACAATCTTGTCCCTGACATCCTTGGAGAGCTCTTTGGTCTTGGCCATGGTGGAGAGTTTGGAATCTGATTGATTGATTGCTTCTGTGGACAGGTGTCTTTTATACAGGTAACAAGCTGAGATTAGGAGCACTCCCTTTAAGAGTGTGCTCCTAATCTCAGCTCGTTACCTGTATAAAAGACACTTGGGAGCCAGAAATCTTTCTGATTGAGAGGGGGTCAAATACTTATTTCCATCATTAAAATGCAAATCAATTTATAACATTTCTGACATGCGTTTTTCTGGATTTTGTTGTTGTTATTCTGTCTCTCACTGTTCAAATAAAACTACCATTACAATTATTGACTGATCATTTCTTTGTCAGTGGGTAAACGTACAAAATCAGCAGGGGATCAAATACTTTTTTCCCTCACTGTATATGTCGGCTCAATTGGAAATTACCTTAAAATGTATGTCGTGGAATCTGTAACGCTTCAGCTTTACTTTTTGAATAGAGTCCTAAATATCTTGAACGCTTTCATTGAAATAGCGGTTAAATGGCTCTATTAAAAAACGACTGGACTCTGGCTCTAGAGATCACATGGGCTTGGAGGAATTAGTTTAAGCTTTAAAAACACAATTCCTAAGTGTAAAAGGGCCAGAAACGTCTCTTTTTAGTTGGTGTCAAACCTCTAAAAAAATTCTGAATTTTAAATATTTCGCAACAGTCTTTAAAAAACACCTGTGGTATAGTAGCATTACCCTGCATACACAACATCCTCTTTCCAAGGTCTACGTACAAAACATCTAGCCAGGTACGAAAACTAAGCAAACTGATTTCCATAACAAGGGACAGTTCCCAATTCTAAATTCTATACAGCCGACCCGGGAGACAGAGAGTACGTGAGAGGAAGGATATAGCTTGGGGATGTAACACATCCCCCACAACAGACGTGGAAGGATATTGCTTCACATCCCCCACAACAGACGTGGAAGGATATTGCTTCACATCCCCCACAGCAGACGTGGAAGGATATTGCTTCACATCCCCCACAGCAGACGTGGAAGGATATTGCTTCACATCCCCCACAGCAGACGTGGAAGGATATTGCTTCACATCCCCCACAGCAGACGTGGAAGGATATAGCTTCACATCCCCCACAACAGACGTGGAAGGATATTGCTTCACATCCCCCACAACAGACGTGGAAGGATATAGCCCACAACAGACGTGGATGTTTGTAGCTTCACATCCCCCACAACAGACGTGGAAGGATATAGCTTCACATCCCCCACAACAGACGTGGAAGGATATTGCTTCACATCCCCCACAACAGATGTGGAAGGATATTGCTTCACATCCCCCACAGCAGACGTGGAAGTTTGTAGCTTCACATCCCCCACAGCAGACGTGGAAGGATATTGCTTCACATCCCCCACAGCAGACGTGGAAGGATATTGCTTCACATCCCCCACAGCAGATGTGGAAGTTTGTAGCTTCACATCCCCCACAGCAGACGTGGAAGGATATTGCTTCACATCCCCCACAGCAGACGTGGAAGGATATTGCTTCACATCCCCCACAGTTGACATGGAAGGATATTGCTTCACATCCCCCACAACAGACGTGGAAGGATATAGCTTCACATCCCCCACAGTTGACGTGGAAGGATATAGCTTCACATCCCCCACAGCATATGTGGAAGGATATAGCTTCACATCCCCCACAGCAGGCATGGGTGGGAGAGAGGAGGCAGCTGTAGCAGACGGACATCTTGTTCCCTCTTTAGCCAGGGGGGCCATCTGTACTGTGAGCTACAGTCTGTCTATCTGACAATGTCTGTCTGTGTGTCTGTCTGTCTCAGTTAGCCCTCATCCATCATCACATTCCAACACTGTCCAGTCCAGCCCTTCAGGACCATCTCATTGCATCAGGAAGGAAGTAACTGATAGGATACGACAACCTTCCCATCCAAACAACAGCCATTTCATATTGAGGAAACAGAAACAGCACTGTAGTGTATCATCAGACTTCTACTGTCTTCTGTGGAGTTAAAAACACTCAGAACCCTAGAATACTCAGGACCCTAGAACACTCAGGACCATAGAACACTCAGGACCCTAGAACACTCAGGACCCTAGAACACTCAGGACCCTAGAAACACTCAGGACCATAGAACACTCAGGACCTAGAAACTCAGGACCTAGAAACACTCAGACCATAGAACACTCAGGACCATAGAACACTCAGGACCATAGAACACTCAGGACCCAGAACACTCAGGACCATAGAACACTCAGGACCATAGATACACTCAGGACCCATAGAACACTCAGGACCATAGAAACCCTCAGGACCCTAGAACACTCAGGACCATAGAACACTCAGGACCCATAGAACACTCGGACCATGAACTCAGGACCATAGAACACTCAGGACCCTAGAAACACTCAGGACCATAGAAACACTCAGGACCCTAGAACACTCAGGGACCCTAGAACACTCAGGACCTAGAACACTCAGGACCATAGAACAACTCAGGGACCATAGAACACTCAGGACCCTAGAACACTCAGGACCCTAGAACACTCAGGACCCTAGAACACTCAGGACCATAGAACACTCAGGACCACTAGAACACTCAGGACCCATAGAACACTCAGGACCTAGAACACTCAGGACTAGAACACTCAGGACCATAGAACACTCAGGACCATAGAAACACTCAGGACCACTAGAACACTCAGGACCATAGAACACTCAGGACCATAGAACACTCAGGACCATAGAACACTCAGGACCATAGAACACTCAGGACCCTAGAACACTCAGGACCATTGAACACTCAGGACCATAGAACACTCAGGACCATAGAACACTCAGGACCATAGAACACTCAGGACCATAGAACACTCAGGACCCTAGAACACTCAGGACCCTAGAACACTCAGGACCATAGAACACTCAGGACCATAGAACACTCAGGACCATAGAACACTCAGGACCATAGAACACTCAGGACCATAGAACACTCAGGACCCTAGAACACTCAGGACCCATAGAACACTCAGGACCATAGAACACTCAGGACCATAGAACACTCAGGACCATAGAACACTCAGGACCATAGAACACTCAGGACCATAGAACACTCAGGACCATAGAACACTCAGGACCATAGAACACTCAGGACCATAGAACACTCAGGACCATAGAACACTCAGGACCATAGAACACTCAGGACCATAGAACACTCAGGACCCTAGAACACTCAGGACCATAGAACACTCAGGACCATAGAACACTCAGGACCCTAGAACACTCAGGACCCTAGAACACTCAGGACCATAGAACACTCAGGACCCTAGAACACTCAGGACCATAGAACACTCAGGACCCTAGAACACTCAGGACCATAGAACACTCAGGACCATAGAAACACTCAGGACCATAACACTCAGACATAGAACACTCAGGACCCTAGAACACTCAGGACCATAGAACACTCAGGACCCTAGAACACTCAGGACCATAGAACACTCAGGACCATAGAACACTCAGGACCCTAGAACACTCAGGACCATAGAACACTCAGGACCATAGAACACTCAGACAGAATAGCAACCACTCAATGCTATAAACATCATATTGTCAACATTGATTTGGCAAAGAGAGAAATGGTGAGGAGGAGGAAGTCTGTTCTCAGATGTAAAATGTCTGTCTGACTGGAGGGAAACTATTCACTGTGACACACAATGTCAACGTCTGACTGGAGGGAAGCTATTCACTGTGACACACATCTTCGTATACTGCATTTCAGCTTCTGATATATCTTCTGAAAGGAGGAGGAGAGCAACACTTTACTTTTTTTTTTTTGCAAACACTGGTTCACTGACAAGATGATGAGCAATACACTGACTGAGAGAAACGGACCTGTAGATATTACCATGCAACTGACTGATCACTGACATTAAATACAGAGGTGTGTGTGTGTGTTGTGTGTGTGTGTGTGTGTGTGTGTGTGTGTGTGTGTGTGTGTGTGTGCTGCTCATGTTCTGTACAGTTTGTAGTTTGTGTCTTTAGACAACAGATGATCTAATACTGATTGTACGCCTCCTAACCAATCATGTATTCTCTCCCGAGGTTGCAGTCTCCTCCCCTTCCTCCTCTAGGGCCTCTGTAATTGAACCGTGAGCCTGTAGCTCCTCCCCTCTCCCTGCGCGTGATAGGACCTCTATCCAGCGGCGCTGTAGCTCCTCCCCATCGGCACTGAAGTAGAGAGTAAGGTGTGATTGGCTGATTTTGAAGGCAAAGCGGCGTTCCAGGCGGTCACATGAATCAGGAAGGGAGACCTCAAAGCCAATCAAGGGTACAGAGCGCTGGGCTTTCACATCCTGGGTACACAGGGGAGGAAGAGGGCAGGACAGAGAGGACAGAGGACAGACAGAGAGGACAGAGAGAGAGGACAGCGCGAAAGGACAGACAGAGAGGACAGACAGAGAGGATAGACAGAGAGGACAAAGAGAGAGAGGTCAGACAGAGAGGACAGAGTGAAAGGACAGACAGAGAGGACAGACAGAGAGGACAGACAGAGGACAGACAGAGAGGACAGAGTGAAAGGACAGACAGAGAGGACAGACAGATAGGGTAAACAGAGGGATAAACTTGGGTTGAACATCAATCAGGTGTAACATTAGAGGTCTGTATACAGAAATAGGTGTAATAACATGTCTAACTAATAGGGGTAAAGTTTATGAACGATCTAAGCGTGTATAACAGTCTAATAGGGGTGTAATAACAGTCTAATAGGGGTGTAATAACAGTCTAAGGGGTTAATACAGTCTAATAGGGGTGTAAAACAGTCTAATAGGGGTGTAATAACAGTCTAATAGGGGTTGTAATAACAGTCTAATAGGGGTGTTAATGAACAGTCTAATAGGGGTGTAAAACAGTTAATAGGGGTGTTAATAACAGCTAATAGGGGTTGTAATAACAGCTAATAGGGGTGTAATACAGTCTAATAGGGGTGTATACTCTTGGGTGTATAACAGCTAAGGGGTGGTAATAACAGTGCTAATAGGGGTGTAATAACAGTCTAATAGGGGTGTAATAACAGTCTAATAGGGGTGTAATAACAGGCTAATAGGGGTGTAATAACAGTCTAATGGGTGTAATAACAGTCTAATAGGGGTGAAATAACAGTCTAATAGGGGTGTAAATAACAGCTAATAGGGGTGTAATAACAGTCTAATAGGGGTGTAATAACAGTCTAATAGGGGTGTAATAACAGTCTAATAGGGGTGTAATAAACAGTCTAATAGGGGTGTAATAACAGTCTAATAGGGGTGTAATAACAGTCTAATAGGGGTGTAATAACAGGTCTAATAGGGGTGTAATAACAGTCTAATAGGGGTTGATAAAAGTAATAACAGCTAATAGGGGTGTAATAACAGCTAATAGGGGTGTAATAACAGTCTAATAGGGGTGTAAATAACAGTCTAATAGGGGTGTAATAACAGTAATGGGTGTATAAGCTAATAGGGGTGTAATAACAGTCTAATAGGGGTGTAATAACAGTCTAATAGGGGTTGTAATAACAGTCTAATAGGGGTGTAATAACAGTCTAATAGGGGTGTAATAACAGTCTAATAGGGGTGTAATAACAGTCTAATAGGGGTGTAATAACAGTCTAATAGGGGTGTAATAACAGGCTAATAGGGGTGTAATAACAGTCTAATAGGGGTGTAATAACAGTCTAATAGGGGTGTAATAACAGTCTAATAGGGGGTAATACAGCTAATGGGTGTAACAGCTAATAGGGGTGTAATAACAGTCTAATAGGGGTGTAATAACGTCTATAGGGTGTATGCTAATAGGGGTGTAATAACAGTCTAATAGGGGTGTAATAACAGTCTAATAGGGGTGTAATAACAGTCTAATGGGGTGTAATAACAGTCTAATAGGGGTGTAATAACAGTCTAATAGGGGTGTAATAACAGTCTAATAGGGGTGTAATAACAGTCTAATAGGGGTGTAATAACAGGCTAATAGGGGTGTAATAACAGTCTAATAACAGTCTAATAGGGGTGTAATAACAGTCTAATAGGGGTGTAATAACGTCTAATAGGGGTGTAATAACAGTCTAATAGGGGTGTATGTAATTGTAATAACAGTCTAATAGGGGTGTTAATAACACGGCTAATAGGGGTGTAATAACAGTCTAATAGGGGTGTAATAACAGGCTAATAGGGGTGTAATAACAGTCTAATAGGGGTGTAATAACAGTCTAATGGGGGTTGTAATAACAGTCTAATAGGGGTGTAATAACAGTCTAATAGGGGTGTAATAACAGGCTAATAGGGGTGTAATAACAGTCTAATAGGGGTGTAATAACAGTCTAATAGGGGTGTAATAACAGTCTAATAGGGGTGTAATAACAGTCTAATAGGGGTGTGTAATAACAGTCTAATAGGGGTGTTAAACAGTCTAATAGGGGTGTAATAACAGTCTAATAGGGGTAAGTATTTATATAACAGTCTAATAGGGGTGTAATAACAGTCTAATAGGGGTGTAATAACAGTCTAATAGGGGTGTAATAACAGTCTAATAGGGGTGTATAACAGTCAATGGGGTGTAATAACAGTCTAATAGGGGTGTAATAACAGTCTAATAGGGGTGTAATAACAGTCTAATAGGGGTAATACGTATGGTGTAATAACAGTCTAATAGGGGTGTGTAATAACAGCTAATAGGGGTTAATAACAGTAAGGTGTAATAACAGTCTAATAGGGGTGTGTTAATAACAGTCTAATGGGTGTAATAAGTCTAATAGGGGTGTAATAACAGTCTAATAGGGGTGTAATAACAGTCTAATAGGGGTGAGTAATAACAGTCTAATAGGGGTGTAATAACAGTCTAATAGGGGTATGTGTGAATAACAGTCTAATAGGGGTTGTAATAACAGTCTAATAGGGGTGTAATAACAGTCTAATAGGGGTGTAATAACAGTCTAATAGGGGTTGTAATAACAGTCTAATAGGGTGTGTTGTGTAATAACAGTCTAATAGGGGTGTAATAACAGTCTAATGGGGTGTAATACAGTCTAATAGGGGTGTAATAACAGTCTAATAGGGGTGTAATAACAGTCTAATAGGGGTTGTAATAACAGTCTATAGGGGTGTATAACAGTCTAATAGGGGTGTAACTAGTAATAACAGTCTAATAACAGTCTAATAGGGGTGTAATAAACAGTCTAATAGGGGTGTAATAACAGTCTAATAGGGGTGTAATACGCTATGGTGTAATAACAGTCTAATAGGGGTGTAATAACAGTCTAATAGGGGTGTATAAGTTATGTAATAACAGGTCTAATAGGGGTGTATAACAGTCTAATAGGGTTAATAGAGGGTGTAAAAACAGTCTAATAGGGTGTAAACTGTTAAGTAAACAGCTAACTTAATAGGGGTGTAATAACAGTCTAATAGGGGTGTAATAACAGTCTAATAGGGGTGTAATAACAGTCTAATAGGGGTGTAATAACAGTCTAATAGGGGTGTAATAACAGTCTAATAGGGGTGTAATAACAGTCTAATAGGGGTGTAATAAACAGTCTAATAGGGGTGTAATAACAGTCTAATAGGGTGTAATAACAGTCTAATTGTAATAACAGTCTAATAGGGGTGTAATAACAGTCTAATAGGGGTGTAATAACAGTCTAATAGGGGTGTAATAACAGTCTAAATTAATGGGGTGTAATAACAGTCTAATAGGGGTGTAAAACAGTCTAATAGGGGTGTAATAACAGTCTAATAGGGGTGTAATAACAGTCTATAGGGGTGTAATAACAGTCTAATAGGGGTGTAATAACAGTCTAATAGGGGTGTAATAAACAGCTAATAGGGGTGTTAACGTCTAATAAACAGGTCTAATAGGGTGTAATAACAGTCTAATAGGGGTGTAATAACAGTCTAATGGGGTGTAATAACAGGTTAATAGGGGTGTAATAACAGTAATGGGGTGTAATAACAGCTAATAGGGGTGTAATAACAGTCTAATAGGGGTGTAATAACAGTCTAATAGGGGTGTAATAACAGTCTAATAGGGGTGTAATAACAGTTAATGGGGTGTAATAACAGGTCATCTCACCTGAGGAGCACCGTATATGTACAGCACCAGTGGTTCGTTCTCTGGGATGACAAACCAGGCTTTCTGCCAGCCTCTGCCTGCTCCCTTCTCCATGTGGTGAAGGAAGCTACACAACACACTGTTCTCTGCTGCTACCGACGCCTGTTTCTGTACACCACACACACACACACACACACACACACACACACACACACACACACACACACACACACACACACACACACACACACACACACACAGCATTAGAGACCACTCTCCATTGATGTTGTGCAGCTTGGTCTTATTTTCCAGGACACCAGAATAATGTTCTTTCTCATCTTTTTGTCTCCTCAAGTCTTCCCTTGTACTTTTTCAGTACAGCTACAAATGTGGAAAGTATTTGACACGAATGCATGTATTTGGCTGAGTTTGGTAATGCATTTGACCAAGGCCTGCAGGCAGGACCTCCAGCACAACAAGCATCTGATGGAAAGATATGTATTTGACCTCAAGTCTTCTAATCTATCTATTATCACCTGCTAGCTGATCCCATCGACTTACAGTCTTTGCACTAACGCTAGTTAGCATTGGGTCGCTACTTAGCATTGGGTCGCTAGTTAGCATTGTTTTGCTAGTTAGCATTGGGTTGCGAAACTCCCTCTAACTTCCTTCATACCGTACAAAGATAAATTAAAATGGTGTCCACAAGTTCATCTGACTCTGGGTAAGTAGATAACATCCCAAAGTATCCCTTTTTCTACAGCAGTCAGGATCCTGTTACGTACCTCCAGTATTGACCGTCGTCTGTTTATGCTGCAGGTCAGGCTGGCGGGGGAGGGGGGAACCCCCACTAGGGTGGTATAGCAGTCGATACACACCCTGTTAGCCCTGTTGTTGTCATAGAGCAGACGGGCCCTGAACTCTGAACACTTTCCACACACCACCTGGGATACACAGAGAGAGGAGTTAGATCTCTCAACACTGTTAACAAGTATTACACCTGGGATACACAGAGAGCTCAGGTGTGAGGGACAAGAAGCAGTTCACTGACGGCAGGCCACTGATGGAAGATTAGGTGCATCCTCTTCAACATCAGAATATATAGGCACAACTTACTCTTGATTTGACCATACTTTTTTTTTTGCATATCAATATAATATACTCTTTTAAGTATTGAGCAAGAGAGTCAACCCTACTTTCTCAGCAGTTGACTGGGGACATTGATGGAGTAAACAGAGTTAGACAGAGAGCCGAGGACTGGGGACAAGGAATGAGTTCGCTGGCTGGTTACATTTTTATTATTTTTTTACCTTTATTTAACCAGGCAAGTCAGTTAAGGACAAATTCTTATTCACAATAACGGCCTACCAAAAGGCAAAAGGCCCCCTGCGGGGGTGGGGGCTGTGGGGGACAGCGTTTCAACCAATGAGAGTCAAGGTACAGCTCAAACCACATGAACGTCCGAAGAAGCGCAACTCTCACTCAATATTGATGAAAATGTAAAACTCCATTTTATTATATGAATCCTTTTATAAATCAAGAGTTTTTAATATTAAGTTGGTCTACTTCCTCAGGAGTAGACTGACTGACATCATCAGGTCACATGTACATAACAACATGATTTGATTGGAAACGTACTTGTCCACAGGCTTTGCAGTGGTGACGTCTCTTGGTGATGGAGTTGAACGGCTCCTGGCACTTCATACACAAAGTCACCTCCTTCTCACGGATCGGAGTGGGGGCACGCTTCCCCAGCTCGGAACAATTCTGAGTGAGAGAGAGAGAGCGAGAGAGAGAGAGAGAGAGAGAGAGAGAGAGAGAGAGAGAGAGTAATAGGATCTCACAGAGGAAGGCATTTCAGCCACAGAAGATGAAGAGTTATGCTGGGGTTATGTTGGGGTTAGAGTCTAGGGAGTATGCTGGGGTTAGATTCTAGGGAGTATGTTGGGGTTAGAGTCTAGGGAGTATGCTGGGGTTAGAGTCTAGGGAGTATGCTGGGGTTAGAGTCTAGGGAGTATGCTGGGTTAGAGTCTAGGGAGTATGCTGGGGTTAGAGTCTAGGGAGTATGCTGGGGTTAGAGTCTAGGGAGTATGCTGGGGTTAGAGTCTAGGGAGTATGCTGGGGTTAGAGTCTAGGGAGTATGCTGGGGTTATAGTCTAGGGAGTATGCTGGGGTTAGAGTCTAGGGAGTATGCTGGGGTTAGAGTCTAGGGAGTATGCTGGGGTTATGTTGGGGTTAGAGTCTAGGGAGTATGCTGGGGTTAGAGGCTAGGGAGTATGCTGGGGTTAGAGGCTAGAGAGTATGCTGGGGTTAGAGTCTAGGGTGTATGCTGGGGTTAGAGGCTAGGGAGTATGCTGGGGTTAGAGGCTAGGGAGTATGCTGGGGTTAGAGGGAGTATGCTGGGGTTAGAGTCTAGGGAGTATGCTGGGGTTAGAGTCTAGGGAGTATGCTGGGGTTAGAGTCTAGGGAGTATGCTGGGGTTAGAGTCTGGAGGATATGTTGGGGATAGAGGCTAGGGAGTATGCTGGGGTTAGAGTCTGGAGGATATGTTGGGGTTAGAGTCTAGGGAGTATGCTGGGGTTAGAGTCTAGGGAGTATGCTGGGGTTAGAGTCTAGGGAGTATGCTGGGGTTAGAGTCTAGGGTGTATGCTGGGGTTAGAGGGAGTATGCTGGGGTTAGAGTCTAGGGAGTATGCTGGGGTTAGAGTCTAGGGTGTATGCTGGGGTTAGAGTCTAGGGAGTATGCTGGGGTTAGAGTCTAGGGAGTATGCTGGGGTTAGAGTCTAGGGAGTATGCTGGGGTTAGAGGCTAGGGAGTATGCTGGGGTTAGAGTCTAGGGAGTATGCTGGGGTTAGAGTCTAGGGAGTATGCTGGGGTTAGAGTCTAGGGAGTATGCTGGGGTTAGAGTCTAGGGAGTATGCTGGGGTTAGAGTCTAGGGAGTATGCTGGGGTTAGAGTCTAGGGTGTATGCTGGGGTTAGAGTCTAGAGAGTATGCTGGGGTTAGAGTCTGGAGAGTATGCTGGGGTTAGAGTCTAGAGAGTATGCTGGGGGTTAGAGTCTAGGGTGTATGCTGGGGTTAGAGTCTAGAGAGTATGCTGGGGTTAGAGTCTAGGGAGTATGCTGGGGTTAGAGGCTAGGGAGTATGCTGGGGTTAGAGGGAGTATGCTGGGGTTAGAGTCTAGGGTGTATGCTGGGGTTAGAGTCTAGAGAGTATGCTGGGGTTAGAGTCTAGGGAGTATGCTGGGGTTAGAGTCTAGGGAGTATGCTGGGGTTAGAGTATAGGGAGTATGCTGGGGTTAGAGGGAGTATGCTGGGGTTAGAGTCTAGGGAGTATGCTGGGGTTAGAGTCTAGGGAGTATGCTGGGGTTAGAGGCTAGGGAGTATGCTGGGGTTAGAGGCTAGGGAGTATGCTGGGGTTAGAGTCTGGAGGATATGTTGGGGATAGAGGCTAGGGAGTATGCTGGGGTTAGAGTCTGGAGGATATGTTGGGGATAGAGTCTAGGGAGTATGCTGGGGTTAGAGGCTAGGGAGTATGCTGGGGTTAGAGGCTAGGGAGTATGCTGGGGTTAGAGTCTAGAGAGTATGCTGGGGTTAGAGTCTGGAGAGTATGCTGGGGTTAGAGTCTAGAGAGTATGCTGGGGTTAGAGTCTAGGGTGTATGCTGGGGTTAGAGTCTAGAGAGTATGCTGGGGTTAGAGTCTAGGGAGTATGCTGGGGTTAGAGGCTAGGGAGTATGCTGGGGTTAGAGGGAGTATGCTGGGGGTTAGAGTCTAGGGTGTTATGCTGGGGTTAGAGTCTAGAGAGTATGCTGGGGTTAGAGTCTAGGGAGTATGCTGGGGTTAGAGTCTAGGGAGTATGCTGGGGTTAGAGTATAGGGAGTATGCTGGGGTTAGAGGGAGTATGCTGGGGTTAGAGTCTAGGGAGTATGCTGGGGTTAGAGTCTAGGGAGTATGCTGGGGTTAGAGTCTAGGGAGTATGCTGGGGTTAGAGGGAGTATGCTGGGGTTAGAGTCTAGGGAGTATGCTGGGGTTAGAGGGAGTATGCTGGGGTTAGAGTCTAGGGAGTATGCTGGGGTTAGAGTCTGGAGGATATGTTGGGGATAGAGGCTAGGGAGTATGCTGGGTTAGAGTCTGGAGGATATGTTGGGGATAGAGTCTAGGGAGTATGCTGGGGTTAGAGGCTAGGGAGTATGCTGGGGTTAGAGGCTAGGGAGTATGCTGGGGTTAGAGGCTAGGGAGTATGCTGGGGTTAGAGTCTGGAGGATATGTTGGGGTTAGAGGCTAGGGAGTATGCTGGGGTTAGAGTCTAGGGAGTATGCTGGGGTTAGAGGCTAGGGAGTATGCTGGGGTTAGAGGCTAGGGAGTATGCTGGGGTTAGAGTCTGGAGGATATGTTGGGGATAGAGGCTAGGGAGTATGCTGGGGTTAGAGTCTGGAGGATATGTTGGGGATAGAGTCTAGGGAGTATGCTGGGGTTAGAGGCTAGGGAGTATGCTGGGGTTAGAGGCTAGGGAGTATGCTGGGGTTAGAGGCTAGGGAGTATGTTGGGGTTAGAGGCTAGGGAGTATGCTGGGGTTAGAGGGAGTATGCTGGGGTTAGAGTCTAGGGAGTATGCTGGGGTTAGAGTCTAGGGAGTATGCTGGGGTTAGAGTCTAGGGAGTATGCTGGGGTTAGAGTCTAGGGAGTATGCTGGGGTTATAGTCTAGGGAGTATGCTGGGGTTAGAGTCTAGGGAGTATGCTGGGGTTAGAGGCTAGGGAGTATGCTGGGGTTAGAGTATAGGGAGTATGCTGGGGTTAGAGTCTAGGGTGTATGCTGGGGTTAGAGGCTAGGGAGTATGCTGGGGTTAGAGGCTAGGGAGTATGCTGGGGTTAGAGTCTGGAGGATATGTTGGGGATAGAGGCTAGGGCATAAGGGCTATGCTGGGTTAGAGACTAGGGGTTAGGTGGTAGGCTGAGGTTAGAAGCTAGGGAAATGGATTAAGGGTTACTCTGGGGTTAGATGCTGGGGTTAAGGGTTACTCTGGGGTTAGATGCTGGGGTTAAGGGTTACTCTGGGGTTAGATGCTGGGGTTAAGGGTTATGCTGGGGTTAGATGCTGGGGTTAAGGGTTATGCTGGGGTTAGATGCTGGGGTTAAGGGTTACGCTGGGGTTAGAAGCTAGGCGATAGGGGCTAGGGGTTGTGTTGTATCTTACAGGTGAGTTGGGAGGAGTGTAGTCCTCATCTCGGAGAGAGCAGTTGAGATGGTGGAACGTGGCTAGCGTCTGTTCATGTCTCTGGATGGTGGCCTGGATAGCCTGAGAGAGAGGAGGAACAGATGACATGTTAAATGACAACATCTCTGCTGGGTCGACGTTTTATCTGGTGACACACACACAGTCCAGGACCAAACCACATCAACACTGAATCTCCCTTCGCCACACCATCGCCGTTCACACCAGATAAAACCAAGGTGATATCTCCCTTCGCCACACCATCGCCGTTCACACCAGATAAAACCAAGGTTACGAAGTGAGGGAGGCATGCTCATTCATGTGGATTAATAAAGAGTTGCTATGTGGAGAGTGGAAGCTGGAAATAGTGGGAGCTGAAATAATGGGAGCTGAAATAGTGGGAGCTGAAATAGTGGGAGCTGAAATAGTCTAAGCTGAGATAGTGGGAGCTTAAATAGTGGAAGCTGAAATAGTGGGAGTTGAAATAGTCTAAACTGAGAGTGTGAGCTGAAATAGTGAGAGCTGAAATAGTGGGAGCTGAAATAGTCTAAGCTGAGATAGTGGGAGCTGAAATAGTCTAAGCTGAGATAGTGGGAGCTGAAATAGTCTAAGCTGAGATAGTGGGAGCTTAAATTGTGGAAGCTGAAATAGTGGGAGCTGAAATAGTGGGAGTTAAAATAGTCTAAGCTGAGAGTGTGAGCTGAAATAGTGGGAGCTGAAATAGTCTAAGCTGAGATAGTGGGAGCTGAGATAGTGGGAGCTGAAATAGTCTAAGCTGAGATAGTAGAAGCTGAAATAGTGGGAGCTGATATAGTGGGAGCTGAAATAGTCTAAGCTGAGATAGTGGGTGCCGAAGTAGTGGGAGCTGAAATAGTCTAAGGTGAAATAGTGGGAGCTGAGATAGTGGGAGCTGAAATAGTCTAAGCTGAGATACTGAGAGCTTAAATAGTGGAAGCCGAAATAGTGGGAGCTGAAATAGATATAGAAGTATTTACCTGGATCCAGTCCTTCTTCTCTTCTTCAGTCCTACACACAACAACAACATATTATGCATTGAGTTTAAACACCTACATTTAGCCAAGTATTCTTTGAGAAGTGTGTCAGTTGCTAGAAGTCGAGTTAGAAATGGTCAGTCTGCTTTTTAAACTACTCAAAACCATGTTTTGTTTTTTTATTTAGTTTTGTACGGAATTGTAAAATAAAATCCTTTCAAATATATATATATATATATAAGTATATATAGTGACTAATTTCAAGATAGTAAGTCAGGGCTATTCAACTTCAGTGCCTTCTGTGGCTCCCCAGTGGGTGGGCCTGACTGCCCAGTGGGTGGGCCTGACTGCCCAGTGGGTGGGCCTGACTGCCCAGTGGGTGGGCCTGGCTCCCCAGTGGGTGGGCCTGACTGCCCAGTGGGTGGGCCTGGCTCCCCAGTGGGTGGGCCTGACTGCCAAGTGGGTGGGCCTGGCTCCCCAGTGGGTGGGCCTGGCTCCCCAGTGGGTGGGCCTGACTGCCAAGTGGGTGGGCCTGGCTCCCCAGTGGGTGGGCCTGACTGCCAAGTGGGTGGGCCTGACTCCCCAGTGGGTGGGCCTGACTCCCCAGTGGGTGGACCTGACTGCCAAGTGGGTGGGCCTGACTCCCCAGTGGGTGGGCCTGACTGCCCAGTGGGTGGGCCTGACTCCCCAGTGGGTGGGCCTGACTGCCAAGTGGGTGGGCCTGACTGCCCAGTGGGTGGGCCTGACTGCCAAGTGGGTGGGCCTGACTCCCCAGTGGGTGGGCCTGACTGCCAAGTGGGTGGGCCTGGCTCCCCAGTGGGTGGGCCTGGCTCCCCAGTGGGTGGGCCTGACTCCCCAGTGGGTGGACCTGACTGCCAAGTGGGTGGGCCTGACTCCCCAGTGGGTGGGCCTGACTGCCAAGTGGGTGGGCCTGACTCCCCAGTGGGTGGGCCTGACTGCCAAGTGGGTGGGCCTGACTGCCCAGTGGGTGGGCCTGACTGCCAAGTGGGTGGGCCTGACTCCCCAGTGGGTGGGCCTGACTGCCAAGTGGGTGGGCCTGGCTCCCCAGTGGGTGGGCCTGGCTCCCCAGTGGGTGGGCCTGACTGCCCAGTGGGTGGGCCTGACTGCCAAGTGGGTGGGCCTATGCACACCAAGGCCCACCCATGGCTCCACCCCTTGCCAAGTCATGTGAAATCCAGAGATTAGGGCCTAATCAATTAATTTAAATTGACTGATTTCCTTATATGAACTGTGACTCAGTAAAATCTTTGAAATTGTTGCGTTTATATTTTTGTTCAGTATATATACAGTACCAGTCAAAAGTTTGGACACACCTACTCATTCAAGGGTTTTTCTTTACTGTTACTATTTTCTACATTGACATCAAAACTTTGAAATAACACATATGGAATCATGTAGTAACCAAAAAAGTGTTAAACAAATAAAAATATATTTTAGATTTTAGATTCTTCAAAGTAGCCACCCTTTGCCTTGATGACAGCTTTGCACACTCATGGTATTCTCTCAACCAGCTTCATGGGGTAGTCACCTGGAATGCATTTCAATTAACAGGTGTGCCTTGTTAAAAGTTAATTTGTGGAATTTCTTTCCTTCTTAATGCGTTTGAGCCAATCAGTTGTGTTGTGACAAGGTAGGGGTGGTATACAGAAGATAGCCCTATTTGGTAAAAGACCAAGTCCATATTATGGCAAGAACAGTTCAAATAAGCAAAGAGAAACGACAGTCCATCATTACTTTAAGACATGAAACGTTTCTTCAAGTGCAATCGCAAAAACCATCAAGCGCAGTGGTCTAAGGCGCTGCATCGCAGTGCTAGCTGTGCCACTAGAGATCCTGGTTCGAATCCAGGCTCTGTCGTAGCCGGCCACGACCGGGAGACCCATGGGGCGGCGCACAATTTGCCCAGCGTCGTCCAGGGTAGGGGAGGGAATGGCCGGCAGGGATGTAGCTCAGTTGGTAGAGCATGGCGTTTGCAACGCCAGGGTTGTGGGTTCGATTCCCACGGGGGGCCAGTATAAAAAATTAAATGTAAGTCGCTCTGGATAAGAGCGTCTGCTAAATGACGTAAATGTAAATGTGATGAAACTGTCTCTCATGAGGACTGCCACAAAAGGAAGACTCAGAGTTAGTGGCTTGCGAAAGTATTCACCCCCCTTGGCATTTTACAGCTTCAAATCTCTTGGGGTATGTTTCTATAAGCTTGGCACATCTAGCCACTGGGATCTTTGCCCATTCTTCAAGGCAAAACTGCTCCAGCTCCTTCAAGTTGGATGGGTTCCGCTGGTGTACAGCAATCTTTAAGTCATACCACAGATTCTCAATTGGATTGAGGTCTGGGCTTTGACTAGGCCATTCCAAGACATTTAAATGTTTCCCCTTAAACCACTCAAGTGTTGCTTTAGCAGTATGCTTAGGGTCATTGTCCTGCTGGAAGGTGAACCTCAATCCCAGTCTCAAATCTCTGGAATACTGAAACAGGTTTCCCTCAAGAATTTCCCTGTATTTAGCGCCATCCATCATTCCTTCAATTCTGACCAGTTTCCCAGTCCCTGCCGATGAAAAACATCCCCACAGCATGATGCTGCCAACCACCATGCTTCACTGTGGGGATGGTGTTCTCGGGGTGATGAGAGGTGTTGCGTTTGCGCCAGACATAGTGTTTTCCTTGATGGCCAAAAAGCGAACTTTTAGTCTCATCTGACCAGAGTACCTTCTTCCATATGTTTGGGGAGTCTCCCACATGCCTTTTGGCAAAAAATGTTCTTTAAGCAATGGCTTTTTTCTGGCCACTCTTCCGTAAACCCCAGCTCTGTGGAGTGTATGGCTTAAAGTGGTCCTATTGACAGATACTCCAATCTCCGCTGTGGAGCTTTGCAGCTCCTTCAGGGTTATCTTTGGTCTCTTTGTTGCCTCTCTGATTAATGCCCTCCTTGCCTGGTCCGTGAGTTTTGGTGGGCGGCCCTCTCTTGGCAGGTTTGTTGTGATGCCATATTCTTTCAATTTTTTTTATAATGGATTTAATGCTGCTCCGTGGGATGTTCAAAATTTCTGATATTTTTTTATAACCCAACCCTGATCTGTACTTCTCCACAACTTTGTCCCTGACCAGTTTAGAGAGCTCCTTGGTCTTCATGGTGCCGCTTGCTTGGTGGTGTCCCTTGCTTAGTGGTGTTGCAGACTCTGGGGCCTTTCAGAACAGGTGCATATACACTAAGATCATGTGACACTTAAATAAAGTCCATTGCTGCAAAGATAAAGTCCATTGCTGCAAAGATAAAGATTTCCACTGGTCTAATGTCCATTGCTGCAAAGAAACCACTACTAAAGGACACCAATAATAAGAAGAGACTTGCTTGGGCCAAGAAACACGAGCAATGGACATTAGACCAGTGGAAATCTGCCTTTGGTCTGATGAGTCCAAATTTGAGATTTTTGGTTCCAACCACCGTGTCTTTGTGAGACGCAGAGTAGGTGAACGGATGATCTCCACATGTGTGGTTCCCACCAAGAAGCATGGAGGAGGAGGTGTGATGGTGTGGAGGTGCTTTGCTGGTGACACTGTCAGTGATGTATTTAGAATTCAAGGAACACTTAACCAGCATGGCTACCACAGCATTCTGCAGCGATACGCCATCCCATCTGGCTTGGGCTTAGTGGGACTATCATTTGTTTTTCAACAGGACAATGACCCAACACACCTCCAGGCTGTGTAAGGGCTATTTGACCAAGAAGGAGAGTGATGGAGTGCTGCATCAGATGACCTGGACTCCACAATCACCTGACCTCAACCCAATTGAGATGGTTTGGGATGAGCTGGACCGCAGAGTGAAGGAAAAGCAGCCAACAAGTGCTCAGCATATGTGGGAACTCCTTCAAGACTGTTGGAAAAGTATTCCAGGTGAAGCTGGTTGAGAGAATGCCAAGAGTGTGCAAAGCTGTCATCAAGGCAAAGGGTGGCTACTTGAAGAATCTCAAATATAAAATATATTTTGATTTGTTTAACTTTTTTGGTTACTACATGTTATTTCATAGTTTTGATGTCTTCACTATTATTCTACAATGTAGAAAATA